TAATTGGTCACTAAAGTTTCAAAATGAACACTTTTGGTTCTTGAAGTTTAAATTAGGTGTTAACTTGGTCCTTAAAGTTTTAAAATGAACACTTTTGGTCCTGAAGTTTGAAAAATAGTTCTAAATGATCTCTGCTTTTGTTTTAACGATTAATTAACTAATTTTAAAATAACGTGGCAAATTGCAATTAAACTATTTATTATAGTTGTTGATGAGACAAATACCTTGAAGTTAATGGTATATGTACGATATGAATGACGTGTGGTCGTCGGAAAAGGGAAGGAGAAAGAGAGAGGAAGAGATGATGAGAGGAGAGAAAAAGTACTATCACCTGCACATATATTATTTAATTAATATAATTTGTCACATCAGAAACTATAATAAACAATTTAATTGAAATTTGTCACCTCATTTTAATTTTAGTTAATTAACAGTAGAAAAAAAATCATCCGGGGTCATTTAGAACTATTTCTCAAATTTCAAGTACCAAAAGTGTTCATTTTAATACGTGACCAAGTTGACACCTAGTTTAAATCTCAAGAACCAAACATGTTCCTTTTGAAACTTCAGGGACCAAGTAGACATCTACCTCAAACCACAATGACCAAAAAGTACTTTGCCCTTTTTTTTTTTTGTAATGAAGTCTCCTTTCCAGGGAAAAAGAAAAAGAAATCATTTAAATACCAAATCACTATTCCATAAGTTGATTTAATTTGAATTACATTATTGAGTAAGAAATTGATTTTTTTTTTTTTATGGCAAGATTAGAACTTTTAAACTATTAATGGCAAAATTAAAAATTAAGATAATTTATACTTCGTGAATTAAATGATATATTTTCACCCCAGTTAAAGTAAAATAAAATAAGTTATTGAAATTGGAAATTATATTAGTTCTTGATAAGATTTTAGACCCTTTTTCTCTCGGTGTAAAGTAAGATAATAAGTTACTTTTGCATGATCAATTTTGACATAATGGTCATTAAAAGGCTGGTTTACCTAGTGACCACATTGATTTTATTCTTATGATTTTCAAAAATAAATGTTGATATATGAATATTGAATTTGAAAGCCCACGGCATATTTATTGCATTGAGTGTGCATTATCTTAATAAATGGCTAAAATGACCCTTTATCTCTGAAATCAGAAAAATTAATATTCCTTCAAGAAATCTAATAATAAATTAGAAATCTTAGCCAACATGAACGTTCAATGCTAATTGACATGTATCCCTTTTCTCGATGTCATAGGTTGAATCTCCTACATCTCAAATTGTTATAAAAAAATCAGAAATCTTAAATAAATAATTTTAGATAAGTTATGAACCTAAAGATAAAAATTCTTTATTAAAATTCAAAGAAGTTTGCTAGTAGTACTTTAGGCACGACAAATACGTATGTCTGTTCAAGCCAACTAGGATAGATATATCATAAGAATAAGCTCGTCACAATGTTAAGAGTAGTTTATAAATTACTTGTAACAATTTGTATTTTTTATTATTATTTTAATTAAAATGCAAAGTATAGATTGAACTACCGACTTTTGATATGGTAATAAAGTATCTTATTCATAGAGTTATACTCGTATTGATATAATTTCTTTTTAGTACAACACATGTGGGGTGGGGGATCGAACTACGCTGAGCTATCCACGGGTTGGTCATGGATTGTTATAATTTGTAACAATTTGCTAATATAATTAATTTATCATAATCAAACTTTATAATATGTCCTTCCACCCAATAATAACTTCTGTTCTGATAGGGACTATAGATTTTTGTTTATAATATAAGGTTTGCACCTTGCACGAGGCATCGATTAATTAAGACAATGCAATGATGGTTAGCCACTTCAGCCTTAGCTATACATAATTTAATTATCCATTTTGGATTGTGAGTTTAAAGATCTCTATTTGTTTATATCTTAATTAATTACATTTTAATCTCAATAGGGTTAGAATATTGCTTTCTGAAAATAATAATATGAAGAGGGGAACCCCTAAATCTTTTTATTTTCGCCAAAAAAAAAAGCTTATTTAAAAAAATTAATGGTTAGCCACTACAATTGTTTTTTATTAAAAAAGAAGTTCTCCAATAAGAAAAAAAGTTATAATATAAATGCTATGAAGTATCAAATAGTTGTACTAAAAAAAATAAATGAATAAAATAGTTTCTTTTTATAATATGATCAATATTTGTAAAATAGAAA